CCTCCCTCCCTCCTTCCTTTACCCAGAGTCACCCCCACCCTGGCTGTTGGCTGCCCCACCTTGGGAGGGCATCTTGGCACCTCGGGCTTGTCCTGGGTCCCCAGAGATAGAGGGAAAAAGCTGGCCTGGAGGGATGTTGCGGCCTCCCTAAGCCTCAGTTTCTTCATCTGTGAAATGGGGGAGATGATGCTAGGCCGGCCTGACCGCTCCGCGGACCCCAGGGGTGCATTGGACCCAGTCTTGGCATCTTGATTCTCTCTGCTGAGCCAGGAGTCAGGGAGATGTGGGCTCTGGTCCCAGCCAGGAACTGCCAGTTTCTCTCTTAGAACTGGTGCCTGGTGCCCCCCCTCCCCCCCGGGGATTGGGAGCAAGATTTCCAGCCCTCCAACATCCCACCCTGGGGTTGGAGGCAGGTGACCATCAAGAGCGCTGGTTTAGGTGATGGTGCCCCATAAACGGCCTACTCGGGGAGGTGGGAGAGAACTTCTTGCAGTTCCTTGAACCCACCACTGTCTCCCTTCCAGGCCTCTGCCCAGGCTGTGGCCTCTACTTGGAACTCCTTTCCTTCCTCTCCCGCCCTCCCCTTCAGTGCCTCTTCCTCTGGGAAGCCCTCCCTGATGCCCCAGCAGGTCCTCTCCTGCCGCCCCTGGGTGTCTCATCTCATGACCAGACCCTGATCTGTGAGCCCGGTGGAGGCAGGAACCGCATGCCTGGCCCGGAGCGCCTCAGGAAGCGAGACATCCAGGTCCCCAACGTGCGGCCTGCCCTGTGGCCTGGGAGCCAGGAGGAGGTAGTCATGCTGCCCAGGCTTCGGGCCAGCAGCAGCCTTGGTTGCTGGGGAGCTATCTTTCCCCAGTGGGCCCCAAGGGCATGGGGAACACCTGGCCCTGCGCTCTCAGCGCTGACATTTTGAGGTGACACTCAAGGAAAGCTACCTCCTATGTGCCCCCTGTGTGCCACCATAATGCCATGGTCCTAGACTTTGCTGCACCCTCCTCAGAAAGCTTCAGAGTTTGCCTGCCCAGCCCTGGCCCTGGCCCTGGCCCTGCGCTTTGTGGGTGGCGCGTGGAGCTGCTACTGGGCGGTAGGGCCTAGAAAGTTGTCCTGGACACTCATTGAGTCCCCGCAATGGCTCACGGAAGGCAGTGCTGCTGGTATCCACTTTTTTTTGTCATCCACATTTTGCAGATGAGGAAACTGAGGCACAGAGCAGTTAAGCAACATGGCAGAGCCTGGATCCCCTCGGTGCCCTGTCTCCTGAGGCCAGGCCCAGCAGCCCCTGCCTCTGAGAAGGGTAAAGGGAGGTGCAGGGAAGGGAGATGTTTCTGGAGCAGCTCCTGGGAGAACTTCCAGGTGGATAAATTGGCACAGAGAGTCTGGAGGATGCTTTGTGTGTGGTGTGCGAAGGAGCTCCCCTTTGGTGTTTCTGGGAGATCAGGGAGATTTAAACTGCTTTCCACTGGTGCTGGGATGTCAGGCTGGTGTTTCTTTTGAAGATGATGTGGGGGGGAGACCGGGCCCCAAGGCAGCCCAGTTTTATTCAAGTTGCAGAAATAACAACAGCAGCAGCTCAAAGAAAGCGGTTTCCAGTGGCTGAGCGTTCACCGTGCTCAGTGCTGCGCCCCGCCTGGTCTTGGATGCACACTCTGCGCCCTCAGCATCTGCCCGAGAGGGAGAATTTCATCCCCACGGTACCTCCTTTTAGCTGGTATGTGAATCTCTTGGTCTCCGCATCTGCTGTTGGTCTCCCCGTTAGGCAGCGAGCTCGGTGAAGGCCCCAGCCTGATCTCCCCCATTCATTGCTGAGTCCCTGACACCCAGCGCCAGCTCTGCAAGGCCAGACAACAGAGCTTTGCTGGACATGTTTCAGATGGAGATGCTGAGGGTCAGAGAGGTCCCACAGCTTGCCAGGAGGGAACCCCAGGTTGCTGTGGCTCCAGAGCCCACTGGATTCTAATCACCACTTCCCACAGCTGCTTAAGAGACCCTTTCTGAGACACCCCCCCCAAAGAAAGCCAGAGCATGAAGCGGATGTGACTTTACTATGTGATTTCGGGCCCAGTTAATTCATCTGTGCAGCTGATGACTGTTTTTTTATCTCTGAGATGGGGACTCTGGTTCTGGAGGTTTAAGCAAATGTCTCCAAGAGGCTGGGGTTACAAACCGGAGACGCTGATGGTCAAGAGCTTGACTCGATCACTCAGTGACCTTGGGAACCGCATTTGACCTCTCTGAGCCTTGGCTTCCTCGTCTGTAAAATGGGGACATGCAGGGGGAGTATCCACCTTGATGCCGGTGGTAGGTGGGGAGAAAGAGGCGAAGCTTTGTCTTCTGAAATATTTCATTTTCCACAAATCATATGCGATTCTTATCCCTCTACTGTAAGAAATGTTAGTTTTTTAGAAATCGAATCCCGATCAGTACCCGAGCGCCTGCCGCTTGCCTGGCATTGCATTTGGTCCTTGGAAGCCGCGACCTTGAGACCCCCCACGTGTGGGCGTGTCCTGTGCTAAAGTCTTCACCCGCTTGGGCTGTCCTCGCAGCGACCCCGAGGTGCGAGTGGCTGGGGTCACTGAGGGGAACGAGGCACAGAGGGGACACGACCCGCTTGGGGCTCCACGGTGAGACACTGAAGCGCCTGGCGTTGGACCTGGGCCCTCTGCTCTGCCTGGAGCCTGCTTCCCGCGGGGGCTCAGCTTGGCGGGGGTCGCGTGGGGCTTGGAGCCCCGAGTGCAGGGCAGGGGGGCAGCTGGCAGGGCCCAGGGAGCAGCCAGAGGCGCCCGGCCTGGAGGCGCTCCGTCCCCTAGGAGAGGGGAAACACCGAGGGAGCGGGCCCCGGGGCTGTGTGACGGAGCCATCCCGTAAAGAATTGCGGGAAAGGACCTTGCTTTAGACAAGTGCCCTGTTTTTTGCATCCGTATGGGAGTCCTAGGCTCCTCGCTGCGGCCGATGGATGGGCGGCGCATTTTTTTTATACCTCACGATGGACTCCTTTTGGGTTGTATCTGAAACCCAGTTGGCGGGTCCTTCACTGCTGGGCTCTAGTCCATGGTCCAGGGCCCTTCTGGCCCAGCACCTCCAGCTCCCGAGACTCAGACGCGTGAGAACCATGTTGAAGAAGCAACGTGCCCTGCCCCGCCTCAACCCTGTGCCCAAAGGTGGCCTCAAGTCCTGGATGGAAGGACGGCTTCCAGTGGTCTGAACTCGGGGTCCCCACCACCACCGGATGTCTCTAGATGGGGGAAGTGTGCCCTGGCGAGGGGCTCTGAGGTGCAGTTGTGAGTTGATTTGGAGCCTGCTGCATCCATCGGACTTCAAGCCCTGACCGCTGACCTCTGAGCTCTCCTGAGCTGAACCCGCAAGGCCTCAAACCTCCTGAGGGTGTGGGGTGCAGGTAGGAGCAAGGGGGGGAGGGTTCTGCCTAGAAGGAGCAGGAGAACCGGCCCCCTGGCCCCCACTTGGACATGCATGAGGTGGGAGGGAGGGTGCCTGGAGAGAACACGCCCGGCTCACTGCAGGTTCCTGCAGGCAGCCCGGGCCGTCTGTGGCTGGTTCCTGAAAACCAGGCTGCCCTGGAAACCTGCAAACAAGAGCTTGCATGCCGTCTTCAAGGTCAGCTTTCAGGGAGAATGTGGCGGGAGCAGCATCTGGTGAAGACCTGGGATGTGGGCCAGGCCACCCCTCGCGTCCTCGCCCCCCAGGGCCGCCCCTACACCCCAGCATCCGTGGGGCTGCGTGGGGGCGGGGAGGACTCGCTGCGTCTTAAAGAAAAAAATATAAAAAAGCAGGTGCCACTGCCGAAAAATAATTGAGACAAATGCCCTCCCTGCGGTAACTCAAGTTTCTGAGCGAATTCCTCTCCACCTTCCTCCCAGGAAAGTCCCTCCCGCTGTCACTGGCCCCAAGGCACATGCTTGCCCAAGAAGCAAACCGCGTCTGTTGGGTGACATGCTCTTTCCCATTTGGGGTTGAGCAAGGGCCACGGTGATGCCTGCTCAGCTGGGCCTGGAGAGTCTGAACGGGCCCGGGGGGCTGATATAATCCCACCGAGGCAAAGGGGCGCGATGTTGTGTGCAGGCCGGGGAGGCCTGGCCCTCCCTGGAGGCGCAGTGACCTTCGGGGATTTCAAGAGGTTGTAGATGGCAAGGGCTCCCCAGGGGACCCCTGATTGGGAACCTCTGGGCTAAGCCAGTCGGAATGGGGGTGCAGCTCTTTAGCGATCCACGTCCTCATCCAGAAAGTCCTCCTGCAGCTTGGGGTCCGGGGCGATCTCGGTGGCTGTGGGGTGGGCCTGGCTGTGCCATTTGCTGGCTGTGTGACCGTGGGTAGGTGGCCTCCCTTCTCTGGACCTCTGGGTTCCATCGCTTCCGTCCTGGGTGGGGAGCGCGCTGTAAGGGCCTGGTGTCGTTACTCTTGTCACTGCCTCTGTTCAGGTCTGGTGACTCCCCACCCTGTCCTGCCCTGATCGTCCCCCTGGGTTTCCGTGATGAATGGGGGATGGAGAGGTGTGGGGTGCACCTGGAACCCCTCCAAGAAGCTGTCTGTGATGAGACAGAGCCTGGAAGGAGACTGAGGAGAGCAGGCGTGGCAGCTCATTAGGGGACAGGCTGAGGGCACCCTGAGATGGCAGTTCTGGGTACATCCAGGCATGCCCCACCTTTAATGTGCCTCGAATCCCCAGGGGGTCTTGTGCAGATACAGGGGCTCCCAGGTGGGAGATGCTGGGCCAGTGGGGACCACAGTCTGGGTAGTGAGGTTCCCACAGCAGGACCTCTGGCCCGAGGGAGGAGAGCAGGCCACTTGGTGCCAGGAAATGATGGCTCCAGGAATGTCCATGCTGGACGAGACAAGCAACGCGAGGGTAAAATTACGTTTTCAACAAAAGAAAGACCTCTGCCTCCTAGCATGTAAAAGATCCCTGTTCCCACCCCCACGTAGCCCCAGGGGCCCGAAAGAATGCGGTTTTCTGAGCACAACCTTCCCTCCCCGAAGGGGGTGGATTCGCTGTTAGAAAGTTGCTTGCGGAGTGGGTTTTTCTGTATCAAATGCTGTTTTCCAGCGGTTCATGTTTTAAGACCACGGTTGCTTTCCCACCGAGAGAGACCCAGCTCCGAGGCACTGGCACTGAGGATGAAGGGTGGGGAGTCCAGGGGCACAGCGTGGCCCCTGTGTCATGGGCTATGAGAACCAGAGCTACAGAGTTTGGGGACCAAAATCTGAATCTCAGATGGTCCCCAAATAGACCGATGCTCACAGCCAGACACTGGCCCAGACGCCTGGCCAGTACCACTGATTATAGGGCTGGTGGGACCAAAGGGGACCCGGGGCAAACCCAGCCCCTCCAATGGGAAAGGAGCCCAGGGAGCCGCTTGGTCATGGTTGGCAGCCACCTTGTCTTGGATGAAATGCCACTGGTCACCCTGGGTATCAGGCTGGCCGCGGTTTGGTTTTATATTGGCCGCCGTCCTTAACGTGCTCAAGGATCCTGCTGCCGGGACGGTTTGGGTGTTTGTGATCCACAAGAACCGCTGAGAAGCGCGGGTTTAGGGGAGCGCTGGGTTCCCGGCCCAGCGACATCTGCTCGAACATGCCAGGGGCACTGGGAACCTCGAAGAGGAGCCCGCCGTCCACAGGTGGCCCACACGTGATGGACCGTTGCCTTTCTGAGCATATTCTGGGGTCAATATTCCAAGGAACGCGCTTGGGGAAAATGAAAGGCCCTCGCGACCGAAAGGTCCCTGTTCCTGTGTTAGTTACCCGGTTAGTTACCCGCACAGCAAACACCCCAAACGTAGCGGCTTCCAACAGTAAGCATTCGTCACCTGGCCGTGTCTGTGGGAAGGGACCCCAGAAGTGGCACCAACGGCTGGCTCCAGCTTGTGGTCTCTTTTGAGGCGTCGGTCCCGACGTCAGCTGGGCCGCAGCCATCGGGCCGGAGGGTGGCCTTCTAAGCAGGCGCCCTCCCGGGGCTGGCGAGGCGCTGCTGGCTGCTGGCAGGAGGCCGGGTGCTCCGGGCCACCCGGATTCTCCGCAGGGCTGCTTGAGTTTCTTCACGCCTGGCGCCGGCTTCCCCCGGAGGGAGCGGCGC